AGGAGAACAAAGCTCAGCCAGGGAGATGCAGGAAGTAAGCCAGGAAAGGCACAGAACCAGATCCTGCAGGCCCTGGGGCACCATGGTCTGGGGAGCAGTCATGTGCCAAAAAACACTTTACACATAGCTCAGAGCCAGATTTACATTTTATAAAGATTTTGCAGCAGAGGCTTGAAGGGGAGTGAGGCTAGGGAGAGAGACCAATTGGGAGTTTATTGCAACAGCACAAGTGAGAGAAAAATAAGGTGTGGGAAGCCACCTATTGTCTTCACTAGCAGAGAGGTGTGGACAAGGAACCCGGTCCTAATATTTACTGACCTTTATGATAGCCTGTCTGTTACTGCAATTACCTGCCTGACTAGGGGTTTTATGTTTAACCAAAGTTGAATAAAAGGCTAGTGAGGCCTGAGCACCAGTGGAAGTCCTTCTGCTTCAGTTGGACTTGCCCTCCTGGCCCCCCAATATTTCCAAATTATTATTTCTTGTCTTGTCTCTTTCATTTGTGTGTGGCTCCTCTTCCAGATCCTGAACCCTGAACCACGTGGGACCTGGGGGGAAACAAATACATAGAAATTTACACAATAAGGGTCTGAACAAATAAAAACAATTATAACTACAACTATACTGAAAAAATGTGGGGTTTTTTTTGTATATTGCCATCTAGTATTTCTCCTTTTGCCCTTCTCCCCATGCTACATTCAAGCAGCTAGACAGCCTAGGTTCATAATCTCAGGGGAGAAATGTGAAGGGGGAAAAACAGAAACTATCCAAACCTTCAGAGAAACAGAGGAGCTCAGGGCTGAGATAAAACCGTTTGGGAGATGTGGGGTTTGAAGAGAGTGCGTATTCTCTGAGACCAGAAGGGATTCCCCCTTGCCCTCCACCACCAGCACCAGGCGGGGAAGTAGGGAGAATCTAGATGTTGGTGGCTCCTGGTGATAGAGAGATCCCACTCCCTGCTTCCTGGGAAGGACTGGAGGAGCACCGGACCCTGAGAAAGAACAGTTGCATAACCAGCCGGGCAGCTATGCCCTGACTATTGTGCAAAAATTACCCAACCCAGCCAGAAAGGAAGTACCTAGAAGACTTGCTCCCTCTTCTGGTTGTGATGAGGTCCCTGAGTCTGAAAGGCCAGGTAGATGAGAAGAAAGGAGATGTCAGTGGAGAGCAAATAGGTGGCCAAAGACCAGATGGGCCTCCCCTCTTAAGTCTTAGCACCCATACTTCCCCTAACTTGGACTCTACCTTGTGAGAGAGGAGGAGGCAAACCAAACTGACTCACATTGTTTCCACCACCCCAGTGGAAGCTTGAAACAGGAACTAAGTAGAGATGTAGTCTCAAATACCAGACTTATAGACCATCACATTACTGTGTATTGAGTGCTTATTATAGGTTGGTACTATATTTAGCACCATCTTATAAGTAACCATCTTATAAGATCTTCACAGTATAGATGAGGAAACCCAGGCTTAGAACTGTCACACAGTTAAAAACTGGTAGAGCCAAGATTCAAACTCAGTCCAACACTAAGCTTGAGTTCTTGTTCTTTTTCAAATTCATTTGTTTTTATTGATTGATTTTTTTAATGAGAAAGAGAAACAGTGATTTGTTGTTCCACTTACTTATGCATTCATTGGTTGATTCTTGTATGTGCCCTGACTGGGGATCAAACTCACAACCTTGGCATATTGGGATGATGCTCTAACCAACGAGCCACCCAGCCACAGCCTCCACGCTTGAGTTCTTAATCACTATATACTATACCACTTTCAAGGCTATGGCTATGAGACTGCAGAGGAGAGGGTACACTGGAGAGAGGTTTCAGAAGTAGAACCAATAGGCTTGAGAGCTAGAGGAGAGGGGGGAGTCATGGGTTTCTACCAGGTTTCCAGCTTAGGGACCAGGCGCATAGAACGGGCAGATTTGAGGAACTAGGAATTTTGTTTGGACACACTAAATTGAGAGGTATACAATTAACAATGATTAGCTTATCAGTGATGTTCAAATCAGAGGGGTGAATAAAATGTTTGTGGAAGTGTATATAAAGGGAGAAAAGAGCAAAGGGCAGAGTGTTGGGGAACCCTGGCATTTAAGAGGTGGACAGAGAGCCCAGAAAAGGAGACAGAGAAGCTGGCAGAGCAGGAGAAAGAGGGTCAGGGACACAGAAGCCAAGTAAGGAGAGAGCTGCAAAGATATGTCAGATACAGCAGGAAATCAAACAAGAAAATGATTCCAGAAAATAATCACTAATCACTCAGAGGTCTTGAGAACCTTGGTGAGAGAGGTTTGGTCTCTGCCCCCTTCCCAAATCATCCTCTCTCCTTAAGGGAAGCCTGTGGAGGCAACCACAGACCCAGCTGCACCTTTGGTTCTGGCCAGGCTGTCATAGTTCTGAAGGCCCAGCCCTGGGGCAGAGGCTGCAGGAGGCTGGGAGGGCCTGCCTCGGGCATGGCGCAGCAGGCACTCAGCAAAGGCTGACAGGCAAATACAGGTGAGCCCAACAATGTCCTTATAATTTTGTTTCTGGCAAAGTCCGAACTGTTTAAAAGAGGCCTTTCCCCAAGAAAAATGAGGACGTTTGCTTTCTGATGCCGGCACCCTTGGTGAATTGGGGTAGTCGGTCCCCATTGTCCTGGGGCCTGCTGTCCTCGCATTAAGCAGAACTTGGAGGTTTCAGATCAGTGGAGCTGTGGACAGGAGTCTGGGGACGGGAAGGCTCTTCTGATCTCCAGGCCTTTGCTAACCATCAACCTTTCACCCTGTTCCCAACTGTGAAACTACCACTCAGAAGCAGTGTGTTGTGTGTGTGTGTGTGTGTGTGTGTGTGTGAGAGAGAGAGAGAGAGAGAGAGAGAGAGAGAGAGAGAGAGAGAGGGAGAGAGAGAGAGAGAGAGAGAGAGAGAGAGAGAGAGAAACCTGAGGTCTAATCCCAGCTGCATGACTGCTTTGTGACCTCAGCCAAGTCACACCTGCTCTCAGAGCCTGGGCCCCTCCTCTGAAATGAGGATATGGGATAGATGATCTTTGAAGTTGTAACAAGCCCATGATACTTTGATTCATTGCTTCCAGTGAGAGACTTGAGGGTGTCTCTGCAGGTGGGCAGGAAGGGCAATGAAATTCAAGTTTCTGTGCCCAAGCACCAGCAGGGTTCAGCACTAAGATAGGGCACCTCAGCTGTCAATCAAAAGATTCCCTAGGAGTGGAGGGTGGTACCTGGTTGTAACTCGAGGAAGCTCTGAGCAAGGAGCTAGGCGCTAGGGGATGTAACCCAAGCCAGAGGGACCATTCCAGAAAGCCAGCTCCGGAGAAGATCGAAAGAGGTAAGGCGTCCTATGGCTGGGACCCCAAAACCTGGTGAGGGGTAGCCAGGAATGCATTAGGGATGAAGGCCTTGAAGAGGCAGATTTCCTAGGTGTTCTTAGGAGCAGGAGAAATTTCTTTTAAAAGAGGTAGACTAGAGAGAGACAGAATCCTCATTCCTGGAAGTTGGCCCCTTGCCAATTCAATAGCCTCTTCTGCTTTGTAACCCCAGTGCCTCTTGTGGCTCCTGGCACAGAGCAGGGGGTCACTGAATATTCATTGGACTGACTTGAGATTAGACAGCAGGAACACCTAGATTGTGAGTGGATGGGTGTATGTGGAGGCACAGGATGAGATGATGGAGGAGAGGTCCTGTGTGTATTCAGTTCATTCGTCCATTCAATTATTCATTCGCTAAACATTCTTATTATAGTAAAATACGTGTAACATAAAATGTATAGTTTTAGCCGAAACCGGTTTGGCTGAGTGGATGGAGCGTCGGCTTGCGGACTGAAAGGTCCCAGGTTCGATTCCGGTCAAGGGCATGTACCTGGGTTGCGGGCACATCTCCCGTGGGAGATGTGCAGGAGGCAGCTGATCGATGTTTCTCTCTCATCGATGTTTCTAACTCTCTCTCCCTTCCTCTCTGTAAAAAATCAATAAAATATATTTTTTAAAAAATGTATAGTTTTAAACCATTATAAGTGGCATTAAGTATACTCATATTGTGCAACCATCAGACCATTCATCTCCATAACCTTTTTCTGCATACCCCCCACCGGGGATGTGCCTGCAACCCAGGTACATGCCCTTGACCGGAATCGAACCTGGGACCCTTCAGTCCGCAGGCCGACGCTCTACCCACTGAGCCAAACCAGTCAGGGCTCCATAACCTTTTTACTTCACGTGATAAATATTTACTGAGAATCTACTATGTGCCAGGCCCTTCAAGTTGCTCCAAATCTAATAAGAGAGAAAGACAAGAACTCTAAGCCAGTGTGATAAATGCCACAAAAGGCATAAGGTGCTATGGGAGTGCATTAGTAGAAGGACCCAGCTGGTGGAGGGAAGGGGACTCTCTGAAGGAAGCTATTACTTGAACTGAGTCTGGAAGGAGGACTAAGAATTTGTCCGGACATTAGAGAGAGTTGATATTGTGCCCATGGGAGAGATGAAACAAGGTGAGATGGCAGAGAGAAATTCTTAAAACTCTGAGGTTCACACCAGGGCGGGGGTAGAGCTGAATTGCCCTGGAGCAGTGATTCTGTGTGCTGTGTCACACTGGTGTGCCACAAGGATTTTTAGAACACTGATCTCTTTTCCCTTAGATTGTCAAATGCAACGTGACAGCAGCCAATTCAACCATAGCCCTCCGGTGTGAATGAATCAAAATTACACTTCTTTTTTGTCAGACTGACAAAAATACGTTTTTTGGTGTGCTACAGAATTTAAAATTTTTTTTAAATATCATGTTTTTATTATTTTTAATATATTTTTAATTAATTTCAGAGAGGAAGGGGCCAACGCTCTATCCACGGAGCCAAACCGGCTGGGGCGTGCTGCAGAATTTTAGTGATCATATGTTCAGTTTACATGTGCCATGAAATGAAAAAGGCTGAAAATCGCTGCCCTGGGGGGACCCTGCTTTGGAGGAAGCGGAGGCTGACATGTTGAACCCTGTGCTTTCCATTGTCAGTACTATGTCTTCCCCCAATCCCGAGGGTACCCCACAAGAGCCTGAGACTGAGCCCTCCAGCTCCCAGGAGAAAAAGAAGAAAAGCAAGTGTCAGGAGCTTGAGGCCAGCATCCAAGTCCTCACCAGGGCTGGCCACAGGGCCCTCCTGGCTCGCCAGAACCATGAGGCCTTGACCAGCTTCCAGCGGGCCTTCCTCCTGGCCTCCAAGGCCTCACGGGAGCGGGACACCCCTCTTCTCCGGGCCTGTGCCTTCAACCTGGGGGCTGCCTACGTGGAGACGGGGCACCCAGCCAGGGGCCTTGAGCTGCTCCTAAGGGCCCAACCTGAAGAGAAGGCACAGGGCCGGTGTCATGGTGACCAGTGCTTCAATGTGGCTTCGGCCTACCAGGCCCTGGGCCACCTGCCTCAAGCGTTGGCCTGGTACTGCAGGGCCCTGGGCCACTACCAGCCACTGGGTGACCAGGGCCAGGTCCGGGCAAAAATGGGAGCCTGCTACCAGGCGCTGGGACAGCCTGAGCTAGCAGCCCAGTGCTTACAGGAAGCAAGCCAGGCCTACGCCCAAGCAGGGCAGCCCCGGGCGGCAGCCCTGGCGTTGGGGGCTGCGGCGGGGTGTATGCTGAAGAGCGGGCAGCACGGCCTGGGTGAAGTGGTGCAGGTGCTGGAGGAGAGCTGGCGGCTGGCGGAGATGAGCACCGAGCAGCGACTGCTTGGTGAGGCCTTGGGTCAGAGAAGTGTGGGCTCTGACCTGGCGACGCTCTGAGAGGTGGGGTGGAAGCAGGGGCATGTCTGTGGCAGGGGAAGGGGATGGTGGGACCCTTTGAGGGCGGGACAGGGGTCTACCTGGCTACCAGTGACCCCGGCCTTGCCTTCTAGGGCAGCTCTATAATGACCTGGGCCTGGGCTACTCCCAGCTCCAGCTGTTCCCACTAGCACTAGAGGCCTTCCTGCAGGCCTTGCCCTTGTGCCGGGGACCAGGAGAGGAGGCCACGGTGCTGAGGAACCTTGGGATGGCCCACAATGCCCTTGGAAACTACCAGGAAGCCCGGGGATTTCACCAGAAAGCTGCTGACCTGCATGGTGAGTGCCAAGGGCCCAAAGGCTGAAGAATGAATGGACCTTTAGGACTCGTTATGGGGTCAGGAAGCCTAGAAGCAGGGGGCTGGGGATGCAGGAGATGGGATAGCCGTGTAGGACAGAGGGTTGTGGCCCCGAGGGCTGAGGCCTAGGAAAGGGAAGGCAGCAATGGGCAGAAGGAAGAGCTATCAACACCTGCCTGGCCTGCCTCACAAGATCATTGCGTGGCTCAGAGTCCCCGGGGAGAGGCGTTCAGGCCAAAACTCGGGACTGAGGAGCTGCTGAATGTGGTACTGAAAGCCGGGGCCTGGAGGCACATCTGAAGGTGTGTTGGGGCTGAGCACTGGCATTTGGGGTCCTGATACCCCAGCGGCCAAGGTCCCTCTTAGAATTGGGTGGGCTCTGTCATCAGGTTCTGTGGGGCAGCGGTGGGAGCAAGGCCGGAGCTTTGGCAGCCTGGCATTTGCACTGAGCCAGCTGGGGGACCACAAGGCCGCCAGAGACAACTACCTCCACGCTCTGCAGGCTGCCCAGGACACTGGTGAGGGTGAGGGGGATTGTGGGTGGCTTGGGGGTGCTGGAGCAAAGGCTGAGAGTCCTGGGGGCTGGTGGGGAGGCAGATTGGGAGTTGGGGGTGGGAAGTGCCTCTGGGGGGAGGGTTGGGGAGGTAGGAGCCATACAAGGACCTCTCAGGCTCTCTTCCCCAGGGGACGTGAAGGGGCAGTGGCAGGCCTGCGAGGGCCTGGGGGCTGCTGCAGCCAGACTGGGGCAGCACGACCAGGCCCTGAAGTACTATAAGGAGGCGCTGGCCCAGTGTCAGGTGAGACCTCCCATCCCAGAATCTCCCTCTTCCTGCTGGCCTTCTCCGGCTAACAGTCCTGCCTCATGTCTTGTCTTCTCTGCGTCATTCATTCACTCCTCGAACATGCACTGGGCATATGTGTGCTAAGCCCCGGGACACTACTGTGAGGAAGAATTTGTCTCTGTCCACAGTTCTGGGCAGGACCCTGGCAAGGGCATGGGGTTGGGGCAGAAGAGAAGGAAGACAAAACCCCCTTCCTTTCTCCCTTTCCTGTTTCTTTCTTCCCCAAACCCCAGAGAACCACAAAGCCCAGGCCCTCCCCATCACTGCATTATCCTCCCTCTCCCCAGAAGGAGCCAGATTCTGTGCGAGAACGGCTGGTGGCCAAGCTGGCGGACGCCATGAGGACCCACTTGGCTCAGGGTGGGCTGGACCCAACTCACACCCCGGTGAGCTGACACCCGAGACAAGGAGCTGGGGGTGGGGAGAGGTTGCCTGGAGGAGGAAGAGGTAAGGTAAGCAGAGCTGATGTTCTCAGGGATGCCGTGCCTGACTGCTCTTCTGTGTTCCTGTGCCCCTGGCCAGCATAAGGTACAGGTATCACTTTCCCGAGGCCGCCTCGGGGTGGGAGGTGGGCGGGGGGTTGTGGCCTGTGTCCAACTCTAGGGCTGCGCCAGGGTCTTAGCTTAGTGGTCAGTGCAGTTAGGGACCCTGAGCCACACCAAGGAGGAGGTGGTGTTTTAAGTTTTCGGCTGCAGTTCTCAAAAGGGCCACAGGATGGGGGCAGTGCTCCAAGGAAGTCCCTCTCTCCCATCGTTGTTCTCTGGGGCCGTTTCTCCGGGACCTCCACCACGCTCCTCCTCTGGCTCCCCACCTCTCAGCCTCTTCAACTGCCTGCTCCCCCACCCTCTGAGATGCCGTCAGGAAACCTCCCAGCCCAGGAATTGAAATTACACTTGAGTATTTATTATATTTATTTAATAGGTTTTATGTCTTCTCTTTTTTCTTTTGTTAATCCTCACCCAAGGACAGTTTTTCCAGCGATTTTTAGAGAGCAGGAGAGAGAGAGAGGGAGAGAGAGACAAAGAGGAAGATCAATATGAGAGAGACACATTAATGGGTTGCCTCCCACCACACCCCGACTGACCAGGCGGAGATTGAACCTGCAACCTAGGCTCATGCCCTTGACCAGAACTCGAACCTGCAATCCTTCATTACGTGGGTCAATGCTCCAACCACTGAGAAACACCAGCCAGGGCATGTCTTCTCTTATTTTAAAGACTGGGACACCCTATTTATAATTTGCAAGCAATATCAAATTAGCCTGCCCAGCCAGAATGGCTCAGTTTGCTTGAGCATCGTCCTGAGGACCGAAAGGTTGCCAGTTCCCTTTCTGGGTTGCGGGCTGGAGCACATACGGAAGGCAATCAATTATCGTTTCTCACACTGATGTTTCTCTCTCTTTCTCCCTTCTTCTCTCTAAGCATGTCCTCAGGTGAGGAATAAAACGAATTAAATCAGCCTGGTACAGAAAGAGGACTGAATTGGGATTCAAAGGACCTGGGGTTCCACCCAAAATGGGCCACCAGCTTTCTTTGACTTCGCTTTTGGAGGCCCCAAGCAGGACAGGGTGGTGGTCAGGCCCTGGCCACATCTGACAGTCCGTGAGCCTGAGCTCTAACATGATAGTTCCTAGTGGGGACCTTGCCCGAAGAAAAGGCCTCACCCTGCAACTGTATTCTCAGGCCTGTGGCGTGGCCCAGTTTGCTCTGGCACTTCTCTGTCTCTGGGGCCAGGTCTCTGGAGGGAACATGCGCTCATGTGCACATCCACAGCCATTTTTCTGAAACCGATTCCCTTCACTCCCTTTCGTTCCCAGATCTCAGCTCCAGGGAAGCCTCGGCCTCCAGGTGGGGCCGGCCCAGCAGGGACTCCGGCCAGACTGGGAAGAAGCCCAGGAGATGCAAAGCACAGGTGAGCGGGGTGGGGCGGAGCTTCTGGGGTGGATGTGGCTTCTGGAGGGTGTTGGGAGGTGTTGCAGCAGTGCTGTGGGGATTGGGGGCCTCATAGGTACCCCAGGAAGGAGGGCACCTGATTGGGTGCCCCTTGGCCCCGTTACCTGACCCTATAGAGCAGTGGTTCTCAACCTTCTGGCCCTTTAAATACAGTTCCTCATGTTGTGACCCAACCATAAAATTATTTTCATTGCTACTTCATAACTGTTTAGGCAACCCCTGTGAAAGGGTCGTTCGACCGCCAAAGGGGTCGCGACCCACATGTTGAGAACCGCTGCTATAGCGTATAGTATAGTATAGGGGCAGTGCTCCATGTAAGGTTTTATGTCTTCTCTCTCTCTTTTTCTTTTTTCTTTTGTTAATCCTCACCCAAGGATAGTTTTTCCATTGATTTTTAGAGAGCAGAAGAGAGGGAGCGGGGGAGAGAGAGAAAGAGAAAGATCAATATGAGCGAGACACATTAACTGGTTGCCTCCCACCACACCCTGACTGACTAGGTTGAGATTGAACCTGCAACCCAGGCACATGCCCTTGACCAGAACTCGGACTAGTATAGACCTTTGGGTGGGTGAAGAGTTGGAGGAGGGCCACGAGGAGAAAGAGGAAGAAGGCTTCATGAAAGTTCCCTGTGACTGGGTTGGTTTGGGCAGGGATTGGAGTGCGAGTAGGTGTAGGCTGTCCCAGCTGAGAGGAGCACTCTCCCCACTCCCTTCTTTCCTCCCACCCCAGGCCTAACACCCAGAACCAGCCCTACCCCCATTTTTGCTCCTCTCTCAAGACCTGGGCCCATTTTCCCGACTCTTTCTGGATCACCTCTTCCTCCTTGCTTCCACAGCCTTCCTAACTTCTAGGTCTGCATCTCAGAGCACCAGGGTTTGTTGGAAGCCTGCTAGGTGACAGGTAACTGGTGCTTTTCTTACCCTCCCTTGCTATTTACTAGTCTCTTCCCTCAAAGGCTTCCAAATCCAGCAGCAGAGTTCCTTGCTATTTGACGACTTGAATTCACTGACATCTTTTCAGTGTGTTTCCTTCCAGGCACTACAAGTCATCCCCATGCCTAGCCACTAGACAGCCCAGGCTCATCACTCTTACCCAAACCATAGTCCTTGGTGTACGTACCTACAGTGACCAACACATTCCCTCACACATCCCTCCCTGTTCTCCCAAAGTCTCTCTTCCACCAGATGGTTCTGGACCTAGGACCCATCTCTCATTTGGAGACCATTCTCCACCCCCACCTCCCCAGAATGGAGTGCTCTGGCATCCTGGTACCCAGTGGCCCCCAAGCCAATAAGTGGGTCCCTGGGGGAGGGAAGGAGACCTGGAGAATGGATAAAGGGAGTAGGAGAGGATGTGACTTTGGACCATTTTAATGGGACATTATTGCTCTTAAAGTTGGGGGAAGGTATGGACTGGTGCTTGGGAATATATAGTGCTCTGAGCCTCTTTGTCTTTGCTCCTTAGTAATCCGAACGACTTTTACCCAGCTCAGGAGGCCTGGCCGGTCCCCTGCCTCCTGCACGGCCTGACCGTAGACCTCAGAGAAAGGAAGAGCCCCGCTGAACGTGGGGATATGCAGCTTACATCTCCTCCCTACTGCTCTGCAGCCCGCCGGCAGAGGTAAGGGCTAGAGAGGGCAGCAGAAGCTGGAGTCAGAGCAGGCTGCCTCTGCTCTCTCCATAGCCACTCCCACTGGCAAGCTCTGCCCTGCCTCCTTCAGGTCATGCAAACAGCCCAGGGAGACCCCCAGCAGGGACCCACCAAGGAGACCCACCACATCTGGCTTCTGCATGATCATGTGACCCCACCCTACTGGCCTCAGCGGTACCTCCCCAACATACACACTTGAGGGTTTCTGGGACCAAGACCCTTCCCAGTTGTTCAGCGCTGTATAGACATGGATTACAACACAGGCAGCAAGTGGGCTCCCGAGCAGGCGGCACAAGGGCTTTGCAGTCTCAGCACTGAGGCTGCTCGCTCCTTGCTGGGAGTTTTGGACTCAACAGGCAAAAGCGAAAAGGGAAATAGATGGTGAATCTCCCCCTGTTCTTCTGGATCCAAACCTCATGATCACTTAGGCTAGTGGTTCTCAACCTTCCTCATGCCACGACCCTTTAATACAGTTCCTCATGTTGTGGTGACCCCCAACCATAAAATTATTTTTGTTGCTACTTCATCACTGTAATTTTGCTACTGTTATGCATCATAATGTAAATATCTGATATGCAGGATGTATTTAGGCGACCCCTGGAAAAGGGTCGTTAGACCCCCAAAGGGGTCGCGATCCACAGATTGAGAACCGCTGACTTAGGCCCTTTCCAGTTCTAAAAACTATAACTTCTTGACCAAGAGGCTTTGAAGTCAATGACTCTCCAGACCTCCATTTTCTCATATGGGAATGGGGTTATAATACTAGAGAAGGTACAGCTGAACCAACCGATGCACTCCACTTCCTCCATGAAACATAGCAGGGGCTGGATGCAGGCCCGAGGCCGGTAGCCTGTGGCACAACTGCTGCCAGGAGCCACAACAATGATATTCAATATGGGTTTTTAATCACTTAGCACATGCCACACCTTGTTCTAAGTGCTTCACAAGTATTTTCTCCTGTAATCACAGCAGGTGAACCCCCTTTCACAGTGAGGAATAGAGAGCAAAAAAATCTACATATGTTTGTCTTCCCAGGTCACGCTAGTAAGTGGAGAAGCCATGATTCTAACCTAGGTAGTGAGTCCCTTCTTCTGTAATGCTGGGCAGTTCCACGCCCGGTTAAGCCATTGTTTACTTGACAACAAATGTATTTATGCTGGTTGTATGTGTTATTGTAATTTAATTAAATATTATATAAATTGCTGAGCCAAGAGTATGATTAGGAATTGAATCTGCATCCTCTCAGTGCATGGGACGACGGGGTTAGATGCCCAGTAGGGGACGTGCAGGAGACAGCTAATGATGTTTCTTATAGATGTTTCACTATCCCTCCCCCTTCCTCTCGTTCTCTAAATCAATAAAGACATATTTTAAAAAAATAAAAACGTATTTGTAGAGGACCTACTATGTGCTAGGCACAGAAGTAGGTGCTGGGGAGACATCTGTTAATCTTCCTTATGTAAATGGAGTATATTATTTTGTCTTGATTAGGATGCAGTTTTACCAATTATATAACAAAAGCCAACATAACAGTGCCTTTATCCAGAGGGAACTCTATTCCTGTCTCATATAAGTAGCCCAGGGCTAATACAGTGCTCTGTGGAGCTTGGGGAGGTGGGCAGGATACTCTGCCATCCTCAACCTGGAACTTACATCTCATGGTCTAATGATTGCTCCAGCTCCAGTATAATACCTTCCTTCTAGCCAGTAAGAAGAGGAAGTGGAAGAAAACAACTTTTTAAAGGTTATGACCTATCAGTTACATATATCATTTCTGCTCAAACCTCATTGGTCAGAGTTTAGTCACACGTGTATGGTTAGCTGCTGCAAGGAAGACTGGAAAATGCAGTGTTAGATGGGCATCCACGTGGCCAGATAGATTTCAGGGATTCTGTTATCAAAGGAAAAAAGAACAGATTTTGAGGGATAAGTAGCAGTGTTTGCCACCCAGGGGTATTGCCAATTCAGTATTACTGGCTCTACCATTTAATAGCTGTATTATCTTAGAAAAATTACTCGATTTCTCTCTGCCATTCAATTTCCTTATCTATAACATGAGGATAAAAATATTTCATAGGATTGACAGGATTAAATTAGATAATCTTTGTAAAGCATCTGGCACTTAGTAGGTGGTCAATCCATGTGCCCTTTCTAAATTGACTTTGAAGGTATTTCCCAAAGAAAACTCCAAAATTGAGAAATAGCAACAAAGTGGACTAGGTCTTGGGCACTGCCTTCTTGGGAACAGCTGTCATTTGGTTGTTTGGTAAATTCTGTGTGTGTGTGTGTGTGTGTGTGGTGGGATGAGATGCTTTGTGTCATTATTTTATAGTTACATCTCATGAAAATGAAATCAGCAGTGACAAGCCTTTAATTACATTCATATGCATTTGGGAGTCAGTTCAGTATAGAATGATGCTTAATACTGCAGACTCTAGGTCAAGCTGCTTGAATCCTAGTTCCACCGACAGCTATCACTGTATTATTGGGCATGTCATTCAACATCTTGGAGTCTCAGTTTTCCCTTCTGTAAAGTGGGAATAATAACAGGGTAGTGGTGAAGATGAAATAAGATGATTCATGTTATCACTTGGCACATATAAGTATTCAAAATGTTAGCTATGTCAAAGAAAAATGCTTCACATCATGTTAGAAATGAATTTTCAGAATCACCAAATTAATTTCTCAAACAGGCATAAAAGTAAAGCTATTTATATGCTGGTAAAGTCACAAAGTTAATGAGGTCTTGGGCAAGATTATCCAATTGTAATGTACACTGTAAACCCAGTTTCCAACCATAAACACAGCTTAACAAAAAGTTTCCCACCACAATCACAGTCTGGTAAATTCAATTTCCCACCACAAACTTGTAAAAACAAGCATAGCTGGAGACCAAGCTATGATAAATGAGATGATAAATCTCATAAGTAAAAATGAGATTATCAGAAGAGAAGTTAAAAGGTGGAGGGGTTCTTGCTATTCGAAAGGAACTAGTCAGGAGGCATTTCATGATACAGAAAAGAATAAATCTAGCTTAAGAATGATCTTCATTCCACCTGAGTAATCATCTTAGTGCCTTAATGGTGACTTGTTATTCCACAAACTTCTCCCTTAACCATGCAAGGGTGTGTTTACATTCTTAAAAGTTCTTGGGTAAGAGATTTAGTTTTCCTCTCCAGGTTTTTCTTGAAATAGTATCGTGACCTGGAGTCTATGGTTTCGGCATTTTTAACCATGGCATACTCAGCCTACTTCCTATTACTATTATTTTGGTAAAGAGGTAAGGATTCTGTGTGATTAGGAAATACCCTGTGCCATGCTGGTGAACAGAGTTAGGGGAGCTGATGTGGTGAGGAGAGGGCACTACCTTATATAAAACGCTCAGCAGCAGCACACGCACATAAGACTAGCTTAGCCCTAGCTGGTTTGGCTCAGTGGATAGAGCGCCGGCCTGGGGACTGAAGGGTCCCAGGTTCGATTCCGGTTGGGGGCATGTACCTTGGTTGCCGGCACGTCCCCAGGGCGGGGGTACGGGGGGGGGCAGCTGATTGATGCTTCTCTCTCATTGATGTTTCTGGCTCTCTATCCCTCTCCCTCTCTGTAAAAAGTCAATAAAATATATATATTTTAAAAAAGAACACTAGCTTAATTTACTGAGTCCTGAGTACCCGCTCCTGCCGACGCTCTGCATGCATTTACCCTATGAGATGCATGTACCTTCCTCCATTTTACAGACAGGACACGGAAACTTGGAGTATCCACATCCCCCAGTTAGTTAGCAGCAGGGCAGGAACCCGGGCTCACAGGTCCGCTCAACTTGAAGAACTGGGCGCGGGGCAGAGCGAGCGGGAGCCTGAGGGCGCTTCCGGCGCCTGGTCCCGCCCCGGCCTCTCGGAAAAAATACCGTGCGGGCCGAGCCCCTGAGCAGAGGGTTTGCTCAGCCAGGAGGAGGCGCAGGCCGTGGACGAGGAGCTGTTCAAGGAGTACCAGTTCAGCGTGGACCAACTCATGGAGCTGGCGGGGCTGAGCTGTGCCACAGCCATTGCCAAGGTCAGCGGTGCCACGCTTCACCCGGCCGCGGGCCGGGACCCGGTGGAGGGGGCGGGACAGTGGGGCAAGCTTGGGCTGTTGGGCCCCAAGCCACTCGGAATCCCCGCTGGTTCTGCCTTCAGGCATACCCCCCCACGTCCCTGTCCAGGAGCCCCCCCACTGTCCTGGTCATCTGTGGCCCTGGGAACAACGGAGGCGACGGCCTGGTCTGCGCTCGACACCTCAAGCTCTTCGTGAGTATGTGGAGGGCTGTGGGCGGCTGTACGGTCGCTAGGATCTGAACGTGAATTACCCCTTTCCTTTCCTCGCAGGGCTACCAGCCAACCATCTATTACCCCAAAAGGCCGAACAAGCCCCTCTTCACTGCCCTGGTGACCCAGTGTGAGAAAATGGACATCCCTTTCCTCGGTGAAATGCCCCCAGAGGTAGGCGGCTCCCGTTCACTGCTCTCCTCCACAGTAACCATTGTGTTCTCTTCCCTCTGGTTTCTGTGCTGAGCTCATCTGCTTATCTTCCTCTAGAACAGTGGTTCTCAACCTTCCTCATGCCGCGCCCCTTTAATACAGTTCCTCATGTTGTGGTGACCCCCATAGTGACCATTGTGTTCTGCTCTTCCCTCCGGTTTCTGGGCTGAGCTCATCTGCTTATCTTCCTCTAGAGCAGTGGTTCTCAACCTTCCGGCCCTTTAAATACAGTTCCTCATGTTGTGACCCCCAACCATAAAATTATTTTCGTTGCTACTTCATAACTGTAATGTTGCTACTGTTATGAATTGT